CAATGTGGATTGGGAGCAGCTGTTTGAGGGTAAATCCACATTTGATATGTGGGAGGCTTTTAAAGAGAGTTTGATTAGAGTGCAGGACAGACATGTCCCTGGGAAAATGAGGGATAAAAAGGGCAAGATTAGGGAACAATGGATAACAGGTGAAATTGTGAGACTAGCAAAGAGGAAAAAGGAAGCATACATAAGGTCTAGGCGACTGAAAACAGACGAAGCTTTGGAAGAATATCGGGAAAGTAGGACCAATCTGAAATGAGTAATATAGAGGGCTAAAACGGGTCATGAAATATCTTTAGCAAACAGGGTTAAGGAAAATCCCAAAGCCTTTTATTCATACATAAGGAGCAAGAGGGTAACTAGAGAAAGGGTTGGCCCACTCAAGGACAAAGGAGGGAAGTTATGCAAGGAGTCAGAAAAAATGAGTGAGATTCTTAATGAGTACTTTGCGTCGGTATTCACCGAGGAGAGGGACATGACGGATGTTGAGGTTAGGAATAGATGTTTGATTACTCTAGGTCAAGTCGGCATAAGGAGGGGGGAAGTGTTGGGTATTCTAAAAGGCATTAGGGTGGACAAGTCCCCAGGTCCGGATGGGATCTATCCCAGGTTACTGAGGGAAGCGAGACAGGAAATAGCTGGGGCCTTAACAGATATCTTTGCAGCATCCTTCAGCACGGGTGAGGTCCCGGAGGACTGGAGAATTGCTAATGTTGTCCCTTTGTTTAAGAAGGGTAGCAAGGATAATCCAGGAAATTATAGACCAGTGAGCCTGACGTCAGTGGTGGGGAAGCTGCTGGAGAAGATACTGAGGGATAGGATCTATTTACATTTGGAAGAAAATGGGCTTATTAGTGATAGGCAGCATGGTTTTGTGCAGGGAAGGTCATGTCTTACCAACTTGATAGAATTCTTTGAGGAAGTGACAAAGTTGATAGATGAGGGAAGGGCTGTAGATGTCATATACATGGACTTCAGTAAGGCGTTTGATAAGCTTCCCCATGGTAGGCTGATGGAGAAAGTGAAGTTGCATAGGGTCCAGGGTGTACTAGCTAGTTGGATAGAGAACTGGCTGGGCAACAGGAGATAGAGAATTGTAGTGGAAGGGAGTTTCTCAAAATGGAGCACTGTGACCAGTGGTGTTCCACAGGGATCTGTGTTGGGACCACTGTTGTTTGTGATATACATAAATGATCTGGAGGAAGGTATAGATGGTCTGATTAGCAAGTTTGCAGATGACACTAAGATTGGTGGAGTAGCAGATAGTGAAGGGGACTGTCGGAGAATGCAGCAGAATATAGATAGATTGGAGAGTTGGGCAGAGAAATGGCAAATGGAGTTCAATCCAGGCAAATGCAAGGTGATGCATTTTGGAAGATCCAATTCAACAGCGAACAATACGGCAAATGGAAAAGCCCTGGGGAAAATTGATGCACAGAGAGATCTGGGTGTTCAGGTCCATTGTACCCTGAAGGTGGCAACACAGGTCGATAGAGTGGTCAAGAAGGCATACGGCATGCTTTCATTCATCGGACGGGGTATAGAGTACAAGAGTTGGCAGGTCATGTTACAGTTGTATAGGACTTTGTTTCGACCACATTGGAATACTGCGTACAGTTCTGGTCGCCACATTACCAAATGGATGTGGATGCTTTGGAGACGGTGCAGAGGAGGTTCACCAGGATGTTGCCTGGTATGGAGGGTGCTAGCTATGAAGAGAGGTTGAGTAGATTAGGATTATTTACATTAGTAAGACGGAGGTTGAGGGGGGACCTGATTGAGGTCTACAAAATCATAAGAGTTATACACAGGGTGGATTGCAAGAAGCTTTTTCCCAGAGTGGGGAACTCAATTACTAGGGGTCACGATTTCAAAGTGAGAGCGGAAAAGTTTAAGGGAGATATGCGTGGAAAGTTCTTTACGCAGAGAGTGGTGGGTGCCTGGAACGCATTGCCAGTGGAGGTGGTAGAGGCGGGCACGATAGCGTCATTTAAGATGTATCTAGACAGATACATGAATGGGCAGGAAGCAGAGGAATACAGATCCTTGGAAAATAGCTGACAGGTTTAGATAGAGGATCTGGATCAGCGCAGGCTTGGAGGACCGAAGGGCTGGTTCCTGTGCTGTAACTTTCTTTTTTCTTTTTCTCCTCTATTAGCTGCATCATCCTAAGCTGATATTCTTTCTGTTTCTCCCTCTTGAATTCTAATTCCAACCTTCTCATTTCCATTTTTAAAAAATTTTAATTGCTTTTCGTTGTCTTTCTTTAGTCTTTCCTCCTCTTTCTCTACCACCTCCAGCTTTTTTCATCCTTTCCTCATGTTCAGACTGCTTTAACTGCAACTCAATATGAATGGATTCTGATGTCACTTTGCTTAGAGTATCTGGTCTCTCCTGTATTACTAGCTCTGCTGTCTTCGCTCTGGCACTTAGAATCCCTACAGTGTCGAAACAGGCCATTTGGCCCAAAAAGTCCACACTGACCCTCTGAAGAGCATCCCACCCAGACGCACACTCCATTGCAAACTCCATTGCCAGTCTACCTAACCTACACATCCCTGGCCACTATGGGCAATTTGGTATGCACATCTTTGGACTGTGGGAGGAAACCCATGCAGACAAGAGGAGAATGTGCAAACTCCACACAGACAGTTGCCTAAGGCTGGAATCAAACCCGAATCCCTGGCACTGTGAGGCTGCAGTGCTAACCATTGAGTCACTGTGCCCCCAAAATGTTGTCATGACTCATCAGGGTAATGTACTGGAAATCAAATCTCACTGTTCCTTGAGCCATCACAAATGTGAACATTTAATTAAACCACCAAATTGCCCAATTTTACTGTCCAAATCAGGTTCAAAGAATAAAGACTGTTTCTTTTTCCATTAACAAGAAAGTAATTATTTATTGTCTTCAACTAGCTTTTCAACCAATGTTAAAAAAGAGACAAGTCAAAGAGCTAATCTATAACAACAGAAATTGTTGGAGAAACTCAGTAGATCCGGCAGCATTGGTGGAGATAAAACACAGTAAAGGTTTAGAGTCCACCGACCCTTCTTCAGAAGCTAATCTATAACTCTATAACTTATATTCTACCCCTTTCATAAAGTTTCCATGCACATACAACCAGACATACAAACAGACATGTCATGAGACACAACACTGTGGGTCTGGAAGGGATAAAAATCAGAACAGCACAATTTTAGTACCAGTCTGGATCATGGACATTGTTGAATTGTCTCCTTTCGAACCCTTCCGACTCTTTGCTGAGCATTATGGGGATAGGATGGTTTGGAGTGGAATGCTCTTTGGAGGGTTTGTTCTCAATATAGTTCTCAATGTTTACTGAATAGGAATCTATCCATCTTCAGCTTGGCAATTTGAATTGACTCCCAACATCCACAGCTTTTTGGGAAAAGAGTTTTTGGACGAGGTATTGGAACTGAATGATCTGAGCAATGAGGAGCCAGCATGGCTGAGCAAGAGTGGGTGAGTAAGGGAGTGAGACAGGAAAAAGACAACAGTTTATGGAAGGAAAGGTTAGGAAGGCAGTGAAGGATGTGAGGGAGTACTGAAAGCTACAGGTGACAACAGCTTTAGAACTAAACCATGTTTAAATTTAAAATATACTATTACATCATTCTGCAGACCAGGGAGAGTCTGATAAATATTTATCCCTTAATAACCATTAAAAAAACACACCATCATGCCCTTATCTCATTTAAAAAAGAAGCAGTGACATGAGGAGATAGTAGGAACTGCAGATACTGGAGAATCTGAGATAACAAGGTGTAGAGCTGGATGAACACAGCATGAGAGGAGCAGGAATGCATTGTCACAAAGGGTGCGGAGGCAGGTTCAGTTGAAGCCTTCAAAACAGAATCTGATCATTATGTAGAAAAATAATCTCTGGCACAAAACAGACATGGACAAGATTGGCTGAGTAGCCTCTTTCTGTACTGGAAATATTCTGCCCTCCATTGCTCTCCCTGGGAGCTTGCAGTGCACAAAGAGATGTGGAGGAACTTCTTCACCCAAAGCATTGTGAATCTGTGGAATTCCCTGCCTACCTCATTGCATGTTTTTAAGGCAAAGATAGATAGATTTTTGAAAAGTAGCGGAATTAAAGGTTGTGGTGAGCAGGTGTGTAAGTGGAGCTGAGTCCACCAAAAGATTATCCATGATCTTATTGAATGGCCAAGCAGGCTCTGTGGGCCGCATGGCCTGAGGAAGGGTCACTGGACCTGAAACTTAACTCTGATTTCTCTCCACAGATGCTGCCAGGCCTGCTGAGCTTTTCCAGCAACTTACGTTTTTGTTCCTATTTACAGCATCCGCAGTTCTTTCGGTTTTTACTTCTGTTTTTGTTCTGGCCTACTCCTGCATCTTATGTCCTGATCTGTTTCCTTCCTTAACCCATGGCAACATTTAGAAAATGCTCAAATAAGAGCTGATGCTGGAAACCTGAATCGCGGAGAATGCTGGAGAAAACAGCTTAGCACGTCTGAAGAAAGAAAGAGTTAACTTCTCGATTGCGGCATGACTTTTCTGCATAACAAGAGTCAAATCAGACACGAAACGCTAACTTTGTTTCACTCCACAGATGCTGCCAGACCTGCTACGCTCCTCCAGCAACTCTCGTGCTTGTTTTTTTAAATGAAAATATTCCATTTGTAAACAAGTACATCGCGAGGTGATAAAAGGCGCTACATCAACGCAATTCTTTTACCAGCATTTGGGCAGTGTTCCAGCTGGTTGTTGTTGGCGGCAATAGGACTCCCTGTTTTTATCCGCCCCTTTGGGAAATATATTAGGATCTGTTTTCTTGGTTATTTGTTTGTTGATAGGGTTGTAATTTTGAAGATGCTCAGGAGTACACGGGTTCCCAAACATGTGGGTGTTTTGGAAAAGTTTACGGGGAACTTCAGCCTCTCCCCGAACGTCTGCGGAGCGTTCTCCACATCAGGTGTCAGTTTCACAACTCCCTCTCCATCGCCAACCAGTTTGACCTGTTGATTCACTCGAGTTATGGTTTTCAGAAATGGAATTAAAATGGAAATGAAATTGGTTTTGAGTATCTCTCTTAAACAGGTTTCCGCCCAGAGTTTCTGTCACATCTCAGCGCCGATGCCAGGAGGAGGTGAAGGGAAGGAGAGGAGAGGTGAGACGCACTGAGAATAGGGAGACAGTGACAGAGAAGGAGCGTCAGAACCTGCTCCAGCCGCCCTTCCTCACCGGCTGCGCCACTGCCTCACCTGCACAGGTAAGTGCCCGCGCTGCAGGTACGGACCGGCCAAGTGCTGCCAGGGTTAGACATAAAACAATGGAATAAAAACCGGGGCAATGCTGACTCCGTAATCCCGAGACCACAGACGGATTAACTGTGTGTTTAGCATTTCCGCTGACCATCTGTTCTGAGTAAATGTAACCTTTCCCTAGAATATACCCTGAATTTCACATTGTTCTGAAAGTTCAGTTGTGTCTCGCTCTCTCACCAGTTCAAGATTGGAAAATCTAAATTTAATCTGTCGGAATTTGACCAGATCACTTAATGGGCAGAGAAAATGAGTGGATCCGAGTTTTTAAGAGTCCGATCCCACGAGCCGCTGCTATCTACGTACACATCAGGGTGACTGTATCACTGTTGGTGCAGCTGTCTGCATATTTGTATCGGTCTGACTGTATGTGTGTATCAGTTTTGGTGTTACTGTGTGTGTATATCAGTGTTATGTAATTGAGTATGTTAGTGTATGTAGAATCATTCTCAGTGTAGGTGAGTGCCTGTGAGGATATGTGTCTGTGGCTCGGGGGCTGAAAAGGTATTCCTCTGCGTGTATGACCTAATAATTACGGTAGACAAGATTTATTCTTTTCTAGGCTATTGGTGCCATTGGCAAGACCAGCGCCCATCCCCAATTCTCCTTGATCAAAGTGGCCAGAGTGCACATGTAGACTTAACAAGGTAAGAACAACAGGCTTCCTTTTTCGAAAGGACACTGATGAACCAGATAGGTTTTTTTTAAAAAAAATCAATGATTGCTTCATAGTCACCATCATGAAGACCAGCCTTCAATGCAACTTTATTAATTGAATTTAAATTCCACCAGGTGCCATGATGCAATTTGAACCCAATGTCTCCTGAGTTTTAGCTTAGCTTATGATCCAGTACCATTATGCCACCATCTCACATACAGTGAACTGTAATAATGATTCCTTTAATGGTTAAGAGTATGAAAATATTTACCACAATACACATTACTTTAACAAAATAGGGGAATTTTTAGCAATAGCATCATGACAGTCTCCTTCAAAGTGATCAGGCTGGGAAATAAACTTGTAGAGAATGGAAAGGACAGAAAAAGCCAGGAAACAATTAAAAATAAGACATTAATTTTGTTAAGTCAGTCATTGGACATGGGCATCGCTGAATGGCCAGCATTTATTGCTTATCCCGAGCTGCCCCTGAAAGGTGTCGGTGAGCTGCCTTCTTGAACTAATGCAGTCCATGGGCTGTAGGGTGATGCACAATACCCTGAGAGAGGGAAGTCCAGGATTTTGGCCCACTGACAGTGAAGGAATGGCAATATATTTCCAAGTCAGGATGGTGAGTGGCTTGGAAGGGAACTTGCAAATTGGGTGGTGTTCCTATGTATCTACTACTCTTGTCTTTCTAGATAGAAGTGGTAGTGGGCTTGGAAGGTCTTGTGTAAGGATATTCGGCGAATTTTTGAAGTGTACCTTGTAGATAGTACACATTGCTGCGAATGAGCAAGGGATTGGACGTGGTGCCAAATCAAGCTTGCTGTTTTGTCCTGGATAGTGCCAAGCTTCTTGAGTGTTGTTGGAGATGCACTCATCCAGACACAAAGAGCATTCCATCACACTCTTGCTGTGTGCCTTGTAGATGGTAGACAGGCTTTAGGAGTCAGGAGGTGAGTTATTCACTGCAGGATTCTGAGCCTCTGACCTGCTGTTGTAGCCTTTTAATTTATATGACAAGCCAATGGTAACCTTAGGATGTTGATAGTGGGGTAATTCAGTGATAGTAACACCATTGAATGTCAAGGGAGAGTGGTTAGATTGTCTCCTAGTGAAGATGGTCATTGCCGGGCATTTGTATGGTGCAAATGTTAAACTTGCCATTTTTCAGACCACATCTGGATATTGCCTAAACCTTGTTGCATTTGAATATGGACTGCATCAGTATCTGAGGAGTCACAAGTGTGCTGAACATACTGCAATCATCAGCAAACATCCACATTTCTGACTTTATAATGGAAGGATGGTAGTTGATGAAGCAGCTGAAGATGGTTGGGTCTAGGATACTACCCTAAGGAACTCCTTCAAAGATGTCCTGGAGCTGAGATGGCTGACCTCCAACCACCACAACCATCTTCCTCTATGCCAGGTAAGGCTTCAACCAGCAGAGAGTTGATCCCAATTCCCATTGATTCCAGTTTTGATAGGGCTCTTTGATACCACACTTAGTTGACTGTGGTCTTGATTTGAAACATTGTCACTATCACTTCATCTGTGGAATTCAACTCTTTTGTCCATGTTTGAACCAAGGTTATAATGATGTCACGGACGGAGTGGTCCTGGCTGAACCCAAACAGGGCATCACTGAGCAGATGCTACTTGATAGTCTACTCTCGATCATCAACAGTGCTGAATAATTGGCCAGTTGGATTTGTCCTGCTTTTGTGTACAAAACAAATCAGGGCAATTTTCCACATTGTCGGGTAGGTGCCAGTGTTGTAACTGTACTAGAACGGTTTGGCTAGAGAAGTGACAAGCTGTGGAGCAGAAGTCTTCAGTTCTATTGCAGGAATGTTGTCAGGATCCATTTCATTGGCAGAATCCAGCGCCTCCAACTATTTCTAGATATTGCATGGTGTGAATTGAAATTTTGAAAACTGGAATCTGTGATACTGGGGCCCACTGAAGGTGGCCAAGATGGATAATCCACTTGGATGAATGGAGAAATTAATATCTGAATAGATGCCTCAATTAATTATGCCGAATAGTCACCAACCCCACCTCTGCCTCCGCATCAACTCATCTTTATTTCCCTCTCTCAAACTCAGGGCTTCTCATCTTTTCTAAAACCTCTTAGCACTGATGCAAACATTTTATGGACCCCAGCACCAGCGATTTCTGCATAAAAATTTGTTGTAATTAGAATCATGGAATTTTACAGCACAGAAGGCCAGTTGATTCATCATGTCTGTACCAGCTCCTGAAAGATCTACCCAGTTAGTCCCATTCTCCAGCCCTATCTCCATCGCTCATAAAATTCATCACTTTTAAATATACATCCAGCTCTCTTTTGAAACCTCCTATGGAATATGGCTGCACCACTCTCCCAGGCAGCTAATTCCAAATCCCAACAACTCTCCAAGGACATAGGACATAGGACATAGGACATAGGACATAGGACATAGGACATAGGACATTACAGCGCATTACAGGCCCTTCGGCCCTCGATGTTGCGCCGACCTGTGAAACCGATCTGAAGCCCATTTAACCTAAACTATTCCATTATCATCCATATGTTTATCCAATGACCATTTAAATGCCCTTAAAGTCTACTACTTTTGCAGGCAGGGCATTCCATGCCCTTACTACTCTGAGTAAAGAACCTACCTCTGACATCTGTCCTATATCTATCACCCCTCAATTTAAAGCTATGTCCCCTCATGCTAGCCATCACCATCCGAGGAAAAAGGCTCCCACTGTCCACCCCATCTAATCCTCTGATCATCTTGTATGTCTCTATTAAGTCACCTCTTAATCTTCTTCTCTCTAACGAAAACAGCCTCAAGTCCCTCAGCCTTTCCTCATAAGACCTTCCCTCCATACCAGGCAACATC